CCCCCCCTTACACACACAACACAGACACGCAAGCACGCGCATGCACGCCCGCCCACATCCACCTGTGTGCCCGGTCGTGACGCTCGGAGCCTGCTCCTGCTGCTCGTTCAGCCCCTCTCTGATGCTGAAGGCCGAAGGTCCGTTCTCGTGCGGGAAAGTCAGGCAGCAGCCCTCCGCTGGCTCTCGAAGGGACACCCGGGCCGTGGCTTTATAATGCCTTCTGCTCCCTGCTGTTTCACCGACTCAGCCGTCCCTCCTCTCCCTAATCACTCGCTCTCCCAATCCTTCTCCTACTGATGGGACTGCATGCCACGTGCGAGAAAGCCATCCCCCGAAACTCGTTCCTTAGCTTTCGCGCAGTCACTTGCGCCGTGATGGCATGTTGCTGGCGTCTTTCTCCGGTTGCTCTCCATCCTTCCTTCCTTGTCCTCCTACCCGTTCTCCTATTCTTCCTTCTTCAGAATCTCCCTTTGCCTCCCTCCTACGTGCCCTGCAAATCCCGCTCAATCTTCTCCTCTATATATAACATCCCACAGCCAGTCGAGATGTGTCTTCAGGACAGTCTGGCTGTCGCTGGCCTCCTACGTGCCCCCCCGCTACTCTCCTTCTTCCTCCTCTTCCTTCTCCTCCTCTACATCCTCCTCCTCCTCCTCCTCTGCCGTCTGGCTGGCATTCCGTGTACTGTACAATCCCCATCCCTTCCCCCCCCCCTTCTGGAATCTCTTCCACCATCTTTGCCCTTAACACCCGTTGTGCGTTCTTCCATCCTCGTCCCTCCTCATCATCTCTCTCCCTCTCTGGTCTCTAAGCAGAGGCCAAACTATTTTTAGAAAAGGGGGGAAAGAACAGAAAAAGTTGTTCCGAAAACGTAGTGTTTGTTTGTCACCCCTCCCTCCCTCCATTGCACCCACTCTCTCGGCAGTTCAGACCTTTTAGGAAAGCCTGAGGGCATACTCCCACTGGAACTTCTTTTAAACTCATTTGTGAACGTAATTGCGGTCAGATTCGTCCAGCTCCGCCCGTAAATGCTGTTCGTTACCGTTAAGTAACAAGTATAGTGTTTCGGTAGTGAAAGTGCTGCTGAGTACGAGCGAGCTCTCCTCATTCGAGATCTGTCAATGCCATAATATATCGTGTGCTGCTTTCCTCTGAAGTTCGGTTCAACCTGTCGCTATCAACCACTGCTTAGTCGCAATTCGTATAATTGCACTGGCTATTATCTTGTCCAGCAATCTCTATGCTATCTCTATGTCTACCTCGCCCCTCCTAAATTGAGATCTGTCAGAGCTCTGTCAATGCCATCTATCCCCCTTCGGCAATCTGTATGTCTACCTCGCCCTCCTGAATTGAGATCTGTCAGAGCTCTGTCAATGTCATCTATCCCCCTTCTTTCCTGTGAAGTTTGGATCAACCTGTCGCTTGAACAACTCCATATTCGGAATGTGTATTGCACTGTCTATGTTGTCGGGCAATCCTCTATGTCTACCTAGAAACATAACGAGCACCATGACCAGCTTCGAAGCAGGATGGAATTTTCCTGACAGACTGTAGTTCTCGGACTCGGGCGTGCACGACTCAGGGTAGTCTGGGGAACGATTGCATATCCCTGTGGAGAGCCCGACGTTGGCATACCCGCTGATGACCTCAAAGACGATGTTCATGACTGTGAAGTTCTGATCGGCCTGGATTTTTGCCGACTCGATTGCACAGATGAGGAAAACGCCGGCGAAGAGGAGCCAAGCATCCTGGCCCAGAAGTCCTGCCGCCTGGCGTTTCAGACTGTTGCTAAGCGCGACGGGATCCCAGACCTTGTGGACGCCAATTTCGGCGTCGTGGTACTCATCTGGAGGGCCTTCTCGAGGGCCCTCTCGAGGGGCCTCCGAATGCTGTCGTGCTAGGAAGACGGGGTACACTGCCGTGTACATGAACCCACAGTATAACACCGTCATTGCAGGATTGAGTAAAGCGATATAGACGACTCGAAAGCCCGCGTGTCTTGTGGAGATGGCCTGGAAGAAGCCCGTCACCACTTTGTGACCGAATCCCATGTGAATGATCTGATCCGTGTTCCAATCGAGAGCCAAGAATGCTATCGCTTGAACGGAGTTGATGGCGACCACAGCTAGGACCAGCCACTTCGTTTGGGTGGCAGGGAGGAGGTGGGTGGAACACTTGCGAGGATGGTCAAGCAGGTACTCGTAGACAAGGCGCTTGCTCCTTGAGTAACGATGGAGGAGTATGATGATGCCGCGCATGGTGGGAGCGAAGAGAGTGTTGCCCAGAAGAACGAGAATGGAGATGATAAACAGAACGAAGGAGGAGTCGCGCAAGCGGATAAGATTGGCAGGAAGGATGGAAAAGCCAGCGTTATTGAACGCACTAACGCAGTGGAAAAAGGAGAAGAAGTAGATGTTTTGGTGAGTGGCGTTGACAGTTTTCTTCGCATGTCTCGAGCCCAACAAACCGAGGAGCACCAAGAGCGAAGCCACAAAGACACATCCGAAGTAATACAGAGGGACGAGCTTGCTGAGCTCCACAAGGGCACGGTGTTCGACAGATCTGATCTGGTGGTAATCGATGAAGAACTCGCTGGTGTCCTCGTTGTACTCAGCGTCATCGACTATCATCAAAGCCGACATACGGTGAATAGACGAGTTACTTCGACGGAGGTCGACAGTAAGTGCGGGGGGGGGCATGCCACCTCTTCCTAGCCCCGCTCCTCGTCGTGCCCCTCCACTTGTCCCCTCCCCGCCGGCGCCAGCAGCTGTACCACCTGCTGCTGCTCCCTCAGCCCCTCCTCTGGCTACTTGCCTAATTGCCAGAGCGTCACGGACCAGCTTACGGGCTTCTTCGCTTGACATGTCAGCCCCCCAGGTGTAGCTATAGTCTCTCTCAATCTTGCCCCTCCTCATCCATGCATCCCAGTCGATGGTGGTGGCGGCCGGACGACTCTCGTTGAACTCGCCTCCGATGGCCCGAGGACTGAGCTGCCCGGCCGGATGGAGAGGGGAACTTACGAGGGAACTCCCGGGCCGCTGGACAGGGCTTCTTAGGGGGCTTCCTGGGTGGGGTACAGCGATCCGAAGGGGACTGCCTGGAGGCTGCACACCGCTGCTTAGGGGACTCCCATGGGGCTGGACAGGGGCCCTTTGAGCCCCCCCCCTCCCACCGACACCCTCCGAGGGGGCTGTTTGAGGTGACCCTATGATCCGACCATAGCCTACGACACCCCCCGCCCCTCCGCGGCCTCTTGCCATGGCCGCAGACAATGCCCGCCCCTGCGTGGACAGCTGGGTATCACCGGCTCCCCCCCTCACAATCACAGGCACCTCCCCATTCACTCCAGCTCCTACTCCCCTTCCTCCTCTTCCTCCTCTACCTCCTCTTCCTCCTCTTCCTCCCCTTCCTCTCCCTTCCACTCCTCCTCCTCCCCCTCCCCCAGCTCCTTGTCCTGCTTGAGGGACATCGGTCCGCGCCGGAGAGCCAGGAACGCTGGCACTCCGCTGATGCTGTTCTTCACCTTTCCTCTTAGCATCTCCCATCCCGACCGTTTGGGTCTCTGCTGTCTTCTGTTGCTGCTGCTGCTGCTGCTGTTCGCCGTTCTTCTGCTCCTGCTGCTGCTGCTGCTGCTGCTCCTGGGGCTGCCCCTCCTGCTGCTGCGTCTCGTCTTCATTCTCTCCGATCTTTTTTGCATTCCTTTTCGTTTGCAGCAGCTTAAGCCGGAAGTAGTACCGCCGGACCAACACCGGGCCCAGAGACGTGAAGACCACCCCCGCAAGACCAGTCAAAATCATCACGACTACCAGATCTGAGGTGGTCAGCACATCCATCTCTGTTGTGATCAAACCCGTCACGCACGCCGCTGATGTGGCAAGGAACAGAGCATCGATGAAAGGCAGCCGTTTGTGCGGATCGTCTTTCATGTTCTTCGGTGTCAGCCATAAGGCCAAGGTGCCAATAAAGCAGAGAGTCCCCACATAGAGGAGGTGCAGACGAAAGAAATTTAGCCGCTTGCGCACCGGATGTGGAAGACGTTTGCTCGCCCATAAGTTGATGATGGAAGTCGATGACACTCTCCCCCGAATCGGCTTCACGACTTCATTGAATTTCTTCACCAATTGCCGAAAAATTTCCGACGCCTTCACTTCGATCCACTCTCCGCAATCCGCTGGAGGTCTGTTCTGTAGAGCCAATCCCTCGGCTGAAGTAGCAGTAATAATGTGTGCTGGTCCTCCTCCTCCTCCTCCTGCTGCTGCTGTTGCTGCTATTCTGCGGGCGGGGGAGGCTGCCGCCGATGTAGATGGTGTACCTCCCATTGTCAAGACTCCACCTCCTCCTCCCACACCCATTTTTGGGTGTGCTCTCTCAGGAAGCTTAGACGGCAGGGTCGGTACGTCGGGCGCACTGGGGTAATTGCTGCCCTGCTCAACTCATAACAGTGAATCAGTCGGCCCCAGTCATGCCGAAAGGTAGAGAGGGACAAACAAGTACAGCCTTCATCTTTCAAACTGAGTCTTCTTCTCCACGCTGTTGCCCGCATGCACAGTTCTTCTTCGTCTTCCGTTCCCCCTCCCCCCCTCGTTGTCCCCTCGTCTTCTTCGTCGCCTATATATGAATATCTCTTCCTGCTCGTCTGATACTCCTGATACTCTCTCGCGCCAAAGGTATTAATAGCTTGCTTTGAGGAAGTCGCACGACGTCACCAGCTCTGGAGTGCTCTTTCATCGTTCATAGATACGCCGACCTCCCCCTGTTCGTTCGAGCAACTAGTTCTTAACTTCTTAGACTCATAGCCCGCCGATGGCAGGGAGCATAATCTGTATGCACACGCGTCTCCACACGTCTCTCTCTCTCTCTCTCTCTCTCTCTCTCTCTCTCTCTCTCTCTCTCTCTCTCTCTCTCTCTCTCTCTCTCTCACACACACACACACAC